TAAGAGGTTGTGTGTCACATTGAGTGGGGAATTACCCAGGTGACTCCCAGTAATGCTATGCTAGCTGGTCAAATACCAGTGAGAAGACCCTTGCCAGATCTCTCCCTCCAACTCGGCTGTTATTTACAGCTCTTTGTGTGCATTGCATACACACGTCTCACCTTGTACTCCTGCCTGCCTTCTCCTCTGCACCGCGGTGTTGACTGTGCTATCTGCCTGCTGTACAAAAAAAAAAAGCTGGTTCCTCTCTTGCTGTGCAGTGCTGTTTTCTGCTCTGCTCCAAACTGCTTGTTAAGGAGTATTTGCTCCGAGTTGCTGTTTTCAGTTGACAGAACTCGCGTTGGAAAGCAAATACTCAATCCTAAAATGTCCCTGTATTGCTTCTCAATACTTGTAATCAAAGTCTGTCTCCTCTATTGTTTGTAACAATTGTCCAATTTTACTGTGCCAGCCCTATTTATTAAAAATAGTCAATAAGACACAGCTTTGTGCGAGGGGTTTATAGACTGGCAGTTCTTGTTTGAAACAAACCAATTGTACTTGATTCTAATCCAGAACTGGGATTCCTGAGTGATCCGCTACAGCAGAGCTCATGGGGAGAGCGGTCGATGACTTGCTGATAAGAAATCTTAGAGCAGCATGCTCATCTTGAATTTACCTCGTGCTTTGCTCAAAGTGCTGGATTCAGAAAGGCAAAAATTGCAAGTCGCTTCCCCCTTGCTCTTTACGGGCCTGTGTTGGGCCATGCTTGTTCCCCAGCGCCCCAAAAGTCTTTATAGAAATAATTGCCAAAGTCAGAATCGACGTAAAAGCTGGTGAGCAAGGCATTTAAGGTGCGAGCTTGTTGTGGAGGGAGCGGGGTGTCAGATCGGCAGCCCACGTAAAAAAGCACTATGCATGGATCCTGCTTTCTCGAAGTACGAGGCGTCTGAGACCACCGTGTGTGCAGTGAGAAAGCACAGGGGTCGATAGGAAGGGTGATGGGGAGCAAAAGCCCGGTGAATCCTGGAAACGAGGTGCCAGTTGTGGCTGGAAGATCGGTAGGAATGTAGGAGCGGTGAGCTCAGCTTCCAGGGCTTTTGTTGCGCTCAGCAAACTTTTTCTGGGCCGGCGCGGGGCTGTGGAGCGGGCCAGGGCTCGGCAACGCGTGCGTAAGCATTTCGGGAGAGGGGAAATTATGAGGAATTCTGGCAATGCCCGGCTGGAGGTGGGGCAGCGTACAGCTGCAGGGAGGTGAGGGGAAAAGAGCTACGGGGCAAAGCTGGGCTTTTCGGATGGTTTGGCTTTTAGTCACTGCCATCATAACAAGGCTTGGAGCCTTCTTTGAGTCAAGCCGTGACTTGGAGACTTCGGAGGAAATGCTTTCCGTGAGCAGGTAGGAAGGTTCTGATTCAAGTGGGAGAGAAAAATCGTTTGTTACCATAAGGAAAGCCCGCCCTTCATGTTTTTAAGAAGGTGTGAAGCATGGCGGTTGGGAGGATGAGTATTTTGAACGTCGACTGATGCAGCAGTGTTTGTGGATTTGGCACATGACTGGGCTTCAGTGTTGGCCCATTTCCTTACAGCTCTCCCAACCAGTGGTGCTCTGCAACCAGCAAAGATCACTTAACTTCTCTCCTCACGTAGCTAGCGCTGTGTTTCAATTTGATGCCTTTTTTTTTTTTCCATATTCATTAGAAATCTGTTGCAGACAGTTTTCTGTTTCTTAGAGGCAGTTTCCTTTTACTTTTAACATACTCTCTCTCGTCTCCCGTTACAGTGGGATCGGGGCAGGTCTTCTCTGCCCATGGCGTGCCATTCTTGCAGCTTCTTAAAAACAGTGTGTGCACCCCAAACTCTACTACTGAAACAAATCTAATCTTCAGCATTAATAAGCAAGTGGAAACACTTATCTTTGCCCGAAAGATAGGGGTTTTTGGCCTCGCAATTCATTTAACTTGCTTCTGAATGGTAGGATTTAGTTATAATATATGGTCTGCGGTAGTTATGTGACAGTGACTAATGCCTGATGACCAGTCTGGCTAGCTGGGGTGGAAAACTGCTGTGCTGTCATGCCCTGACCACTGAAAGTAAAGGTTCTGGATGGCCCTTGCTGGTAGCATGCTGTCAATCGGCTTCTTAATGACTCTCTTAAAGAATAAAAGCAAGAGCCTCCTGGAAAGCTTTTTTAGGTCTGTCCCTTCCTTGTTTCGTTTACTGTGTCTCTTCCCTGCCCCCAGCTGTATGCCTTGTGCCGTCTCCAGTGTTTTGCTTCCTCCTTCTCCCTCTGCTCTCATACCTTGTCCCTTCTCCACACTTGATTTTCTGCCCCTCCTGACTGCTGCTTTGAAATACACCACTTATTTTCCAATCCAGACTATTAATCTTTGTCCCACCTACTCATGAGGCATGAAGGTTTTACAGGAGCCCGTTAGCTGTTATCTCTATACCTACCCTCCAAAGACTCACGGGGAAAAACGAGGTCTAGAAGTGAAGTGCTGCCTTGTGGGGGCATCAACTGCTCTTTTTGCTAATATTGGCACCAGGCTCTGGTTGTAGGTCCCAGATTTCCTATCTGCCTGCCTCCACCCTACAAAAACATCTGAAACCTTGAAGCTCCTTGTCCTTCCGCTCAGAGGAGAGGAAATTTTGCTTCAAAATGCCTCTTATCCCAGAGGCCACTGGCTGCTGCGAGAGCAGAAGGGTGGTTGTCCACAGCCCATCCTGTCCTCCCTGCCTTGCTCATCTCTGGTGCTCCAGGGGGTTAATCTCTTAGTTTGACTGCTGCTTGCTGGATCCTGACTGGTGTTAGGAGCAACAGCGGGGCAGCAGAGCCGTCCCCGTCGCCTTGGGAAGAAGCGTACTCTCTGCGAGGAGGGCTGTCGTAGCGATCACGAGGGCGAAACTCTTGATTCTGCAGTGGAGTGTGGCAGGCTGTGCTGGGAGGGTGGGGGTGGCTGGCAGGATGAGCCAGGCTATAAAGGGAGTGTTTTTCATAGCCCTTATCTCTGCTGTCTTGCACCGGTGCAATTTCATAATGTATGTGTGCTGTACCATTGTTATTAAAAAAAAAAAAAAGCAACTTTCACCACTACTCCTTGCTTTTAGTTTCAAAACATGCTTTGAAGGCAAACACTTTGGGGGGGGCTGTATATAGACAACATATTCTGAGCCTTTGTTTATTTATGGGCATTTGGGGCATTACTCCATTTTCTGCCCTGTTCTCCCCATAGTTGCAGAGATCAGTGCTACCTGCGTCTATCTGACCCGGCATACCTATCATCTTGGGGGGGGGGGGGGGTTCCCTTGGGGGGGGGGGGGTGTTACCTCTTTTTATACATGCACACTCACATCTCTTCCCCCTTACAGGCTTATTTTACCTCTTGCTGTTTTCCTTCTGTCTGTCCTGCACCTTGGAAGGTTTCCAGCCGGGCTTGGTGGATAGGCTGTCCACTCTGGCTCTGCAGATCCCACCGCGTGTGCTCCCTGGCCGAGCCCTGGGGAAGCAGAGGGGAGAAGCTCGATGCAGGCAGCCTGCAAATGCTGCCTTGTTTATGAGAGCTGCTTGTTGGTGCAGACTGCAGTCTGGGGGGAGCCAGGAAAGTTTGTCTGGCGTAAAGCGCTAAAGCTGACAAAAGATTGTAGGGCTTGGGCTGTAATCGATAAAACACGGGGTATTTAGAAGCGAAGGTCAGAGTCCTTCCTTAGTTCACCCTGTTCTTTAAATATCCCAGCAGTTACTGATGGTTGCTGCAGTGCTTGGACACGGTGAAGAACAACACGGGCTTCAGTCCTCAGGGAGTCTCTGCTTTTATTTATTTGGATGCAGATCTCGCTCCCCTTTTCTGTAAGGTGTATGGTTTTGGGGAATCTTTCCCTGGGGACAAGCATGCGAAATCCCTCGCGTAGAGGCGTTGCAAAATGGCAACCTGCATCTGCTTGTCTGGGAGATATCCGTGCGCCCGGTATGCTGCGGCTCTTGAACTCCTCTGCCTTAATGGGTCAAATTTAGCAATTCAAAATCTGGCTTGTGAGGTAATTAGGAGGGATAATGCCCACTTCTTCCTCTTAACACCCTGACAGAAAAGCATCCAGGAAGGACTCCTGGACCTCAAAGATAAGCTGCCAGCTGCCACAGAGACTATCAAAGGGTGGCTCAAAGTCAAGAGCAAACAGCTGATTTTTTATGGTTCTTGGGTTTTTGCTGTTGGTGACAGGAAGCCATGTTCCCCAAGCTGTTAGCTTCCTGTTTTATTTTTACACCCAGCCCGAGCAGATCAGCATGCCTATCACATGGGAGCTGGCTGCTTCTCATGGGTTGTTCCTCAGCTGACCTAGAAAAGTGATTCTTTCCCCTTCTAAATTAATCAAGAAGTTGGGATGTACTTGCTTTCGCTTAGTCTTAAAGATTTCAGGCATGTATCATGCTCCTTGTGCTGAGCTGTTTACCCAAGTTTCCTCCTCTCTCTTGGAGGCAGACGATCTGAGAGGGAGCTGTTTGTTGCTTCAATGTTTCGGCCTGTTAGCAAAGGAGATTTTTGTTAGTTCAAGACACTGACCCGCACATAAAAGCGTTTTCTGTCTAAAGCTTGACTTCCGGACACTTATGTTTTCTTCTTTTTTTTTATTTTACTTTTTTTTAAAAAGAAAGAACTGGAAGTTTGTTGTACAATCAATCTTGACTTCTTTCTGAACGCGCTCTAGTCCTGCATCCTGATTAGAGCTCCCTCATCGTTAAACTGCTGTAGCACGAAAACAATGGTCCAGTGTAAACCTCAGCCCCGGGGGATTTCCCAAGGGAAGAGGGGTGCAGCCTGCAGGATAAGGAACAGTCACCAGAAAGTTTCCTGGTCAGCTGCAAGCGCTTCCTGTTGTTTCAGGAGAGCCCTGTCTGTGCTGCTCCAGGAGAGAGGCACCACGCATGCTTTGGTGTGCTGGAAGAAGCTGGTTTGGTGGTTTGTTTTGTTTTGGTTTTTTTTAAATATCTCTCATCTTCATCCTCTGGGTTTAAGCAAACCTATTGATTGCAAGTTTAAAATATTTCTGAAGAAGAGCTTGTAAGACTCGCCAAAGACACTGTGCGTGAGCGCGGGAGGCAGGAGACTGCTCAGAGGCGGCGGAGGGGTAGGAAGGGAACAACGGCTGCGGTAATGCCAGGAGCACCTTGCGTGTGGGCGAAGATGTGTAGTTTTCCATCTCTGCCTCTGTACCTGAGCTGGTGGAGCTTTGCTGTCACTGCAAGTCATAGAACAGCAGGATCTTTATTTCTGATGAACCAGTTTTATAAGGGTGGGGAGGGGGGAAAGAAGGCTTATAAATAAAGCCATTTGAGAGCAGGAAAAACGAACACCATGGCTCTGGTGTGCCTGGAATTTGTGGTTGAGTAATCCTTTCCTGTTTCTTTTTTGGGTTGTTTTTCATCTTTCAGAACAGTGCCTGAAGCAGGTCCACCATGCCGTTAGTAACGAGGAACATTGAGCCAAGGCACCTGTGCCGTCAGACGTTGCCTAGTGTTCGAAGCGAGCTGGAATGCAAGACCAACATCACCCTGGCAAATGTCATTCGACAGCTGGGCAGCCTGAGTGAGTACCATGGCGAGCCTGCGCGTTGCCCTCAGGAGTCGCTAGTGCTCTTTATTTAGCTCCCTTTCTACTCTCGTGTTCCTATTTCTCCCCCATCTGCCTTCCCTGGGTAATGCTAAAATGTTTTCCTAAAGAAATCTGATGCTAATTTCATATCCCTGGTCCCACTGCCTTCCCATCTAAGAGAAAATGGGGGGGGGGGTGTACGTGTGTGTGCGTGTGTGTGTGAGAGGCTGCAGCGAAACTGCAGATGGAAGGATGGAGCACAACTCAGGCTTGTAAAATGGGAGGCTCTCTGAGCAGCCAGGATCTTGTGTCAGAGAATGTGCCTGTAATTGCACGCGCTACTAAATGGAGCTTGACTGTGTTGAATCTACAGTGTGTCAGTAGTCTTATTTTTAATGAAAGATAATTAAAGCGCACACGCAGAAGCTGCCTGTTTGCCCCTGCTGTTTGTTGCATTGCAAGACCCAAAGTCCCCAGTCTGAGCCAAACGTTGCCTCTGGAGTATTGGGGGTTTGGGGCTGCTTGCTCACATGGCAGCACGAGCTGTAGCGATGCCTAGCTCAGCTCTCCAGTGGGCTGACCGATAGCCTTGTAAAGGCTGGAGGGAAAACGTGGGCCTACGTGCCACAGGAGCAACGAAGAGTTAATTGTGGTCTCTCCGGGATGACTCCTTAGTCTGTTGAAATGCTCTGGATTCTGATTAGCCACCTCTGCCCTTGAAGCAAGACTTTGATAATCAAATTAATATATTGTTTAGCTTCTCTCTAGTGTCTGCAAGCACTTCTGCTTGCTCTGCAAAGCAAGCCCCTTGTCTTCCGCTATGGGAAAGTTTGGGTGCAGTCTCTTTCCAGCAGTAAAACCATGGCTGTTGCTAAAATCTGGGCCTGTGTCTGCTGCCAGTCAGTATCGCATTCTGTTGGGTCGTAGAAATGTCACTGCACAGGCAAGACCAGTCTCTCTGCTTGCATTTGACTGGCCCTCGTTGTTCATTTGTTAGGTCCTGTAGCCAAGATGGTTGTGGAGTGTGAGTAAAATCCATCTCGTGCATGTGAAATGACGAGGAAGAAAGCAGTAAAGCTGTGCAAATCTCAGCTGCAGAGAAAGCTAATCCCAGTCCAAAGGCATGCAGTGGGTTAGCGTGACAGAGCCGTGGTGAGATCCTTCAGGTTTAGACCTTCTTTGTGTAGCTCTGATATTCATAGCTTCTCTGCTTCTACCTCGTCAGAGAGGGTGAAGCACTGGAAGCCAAATTGCATCCCGGTTTCTTTATCGGGAAGGTACCCTGGGAGCCTCGCTCGGCGATGTGGGGAGGGAGGTGCGTGCTGCTGGACCAATCGCGGATACCTTGAGGAGAGCGCTGGAGGGAAAACTCAGGAGAGGTGGCTCTTGCTGACACTTGCGTGCTTGTCTGTGTAAGAGGGGAGCGAGGCAGGTGAGGAGGAAATGCTGAGCACCGTCTCTTACCCGCTTCCCTAGGGTCAGCAGTATCTTAAATGAAGCAATATTTAGACTAACTGCTACAGAATGCTCGCACCCAAATGACCAGACTCCTGCCCCCTGCTCCTTTTCTCTTCTTACTTCTGAAAAGTAAATCCACTCCTTCCTCGTACGTTGAATATTACAGGAACGTAAAGCAGGTTCAGTAGGCTGTGACAGCCCTGTCAAGTGAATAATCAGCCATGCCTAGTGCACCACAGTCTCTTTACAAAGATGCAAACATAAATCTTGTCAAACTTTCATATTCCAGTGAGTTTACCCTTCGTTACTATCACAGCTGGTAGCACTTTGTATAAGTCGACTGTGCATTTCTGTGTGATTTTATAGAATCCACAAGCTAAAGATGGAAAGACCTATTAAATCATGCCGTCTGTCTTCCTGCCAGTGCATGACAAAGATAATTCTGATTGTGAGCTGCACTTTTGCAGTCAAAGTAACTAAACAAAAAAATTAATCTCTGCCTTACCTCATCTAAAAGTGTACATGAAATGCAGAACAATATGCGAGATGCTGGGTGATAACTCAGTACAGGTGCACTTACACAGGCAAGGGAATACAGACCATCCCTCCTTCTCCCTCCAGGGTCAAGACCAGTACATACAATGCTGTTTATATATTATTTTATGCTTGAAACATACTACTCAGCATTGCAAACCAAAGACTTTATTTTTTCCCTAGTGCTTGTTGCAGTTCCTCGTGAAATTCAGAAATTATTTTCAGTTCTCATTAAAGTAGAAACCAAATGACAACTTTTCTTTTTTGAACTGTTGCTGGGAGGTGTCAGATTTGAACTGTTGCTGGGAGGCGTCAAATTATCAAATTAACAAAAGATAAACGTTCGCCCCCTTTGGTCAAATAGGAGAGCTGGTCTTGTGCTGATGTTGGGCGCGGAGAGCGCTTCATGAAACCTGGCTATAGCAAGAGCTACCTGGCCCTTAGATCTCCAGAAATAAAATCTCTCTCATGAGTTTGAGGAAAGCTGTTTGGGCTTGTTAATGGAGCGTATGTGGAGACTGTATTGTCTAGGAGAGTGGAAGGAGGAGGTCAGTTGAAGTTAATGTCCAGCATTTGCTTTCTAGAAACGTGTCAAGCTGGCATTGCCACCAAAAGGGGTGGAGGAGGTTGATTTTTAACCTGGCTGGTTCCCTGTGCTTGGTAGTGTAAGGAGAACTGCATGGGAGTATGAACAAGTAGCTGATATGTCAGTTTAGATAGCTGAAAGTATTTGTGCAGCTGGGTTTTGGGGGATGCCCTCGCGTTGCCTTGTGGGGCGCTTGTCTTTCTGATGTGAGTCGTTGCAGACAACCAGATTTTCCAAAATTGCTGTTAAAGTTAGGCTTCCAACTGGTTATCCTTTCCTGAATGTCAGAGAGGATCTTTAGGAGTAACAGATTCCAGAACAAACTGTTGACCATATGACGATGCGCTTCAAAACCAGACTGCTTATTGGGAGCAGCCTTGCACTCAACAGCCGTGGCTGGAAATGTTTTCCATCAGTGGGAACTCCATGGGCCTGTGTCTGCTGTCAGTGCCAAGTCTGTTCTGATCGGCGTTGTCCTCGGCGTGGTTTGGGCTCCTTGTCTTGGGTTATGCCTGAGACCAGAACAAAAAGACAGTACTCCTTGTAAGTTCTTGGTTTTCTTCCAGTTCTCCCATCTCTCTCTACCTGTGGTCATCTCTTGTTGTCTGCGTAGATTTTAAACTCTTAAGGACAGGGGACATCTTTTTGTTACGCTTGTAAGTGGTGCAGCGAGCTCCTGATCCAAGCCCCTAGGCACTCTCGCGGTCCAAACGATGGATGATGTTTGTCATAGCAGCCCACTGGGCAAGCCAAGCTGTTACAGAGAGAATATCCCTGTTTGAGAAGTTCCCCTTTGGTTTTGATTTAGAATAAACGTGAATGCATCAATTTTTCAGACACTGCCACCTGAAGGAACAAAAGGGTCAGTGCTTTCGTCTGTGGTTATAGCTCAGGCTTTAGGATCAAGGGCTGGGTCTGCTCTCTAGCTCCAGAGAACTTTGAGCTTGTAAATATGTGCCAGTTACCCTGGAGGCAGGCCTGCTGGAGACTGGGAGCCTTTGAGATTCTCCAGAGCAATAAAAATCTAACTGTATTTGCTTGTCTAATAAACAGAACAGCAGAGAATGTTAAAGGACCTACAGACCCGTCCAGATTCAGACCAGTATATGTTGTCAGCCCTCTTTATTTCATTACTTTAATAATGACTTGAAAGTATGTCTCAATTGTTTCTTTATTGCTTGAAGATCCCTTGGAAATGTCAGGTTTTGGTGGAACAGAGTGTTTTCTTCCTGGATGTTAAACTCAACCCTGACAAACTTGAAAAGAAGCATGGTTCGTTCGTTCGTTCGTTCTTCTTTCTTCAAGAAAACAAGCTGGGAGACTGAATATGGTCTGATGTGGCTCACAAGGGTAATGTGGACACTTTCATATTCCAGGTAAATTTGCAGAAGACATATTTGGAGAGTTGTTTACTCAAGCCAACACCTTTGCCTCTCGGGTGAGCGTTCTAGTCGAGAGAGTTGACCGCTTGCAAGTCAAAGTCACTCAGCTGGATCCCAAAGAGGAAGAAGGTAATGGACTGGAGCACAGTCCTTGCAGACCAAGCGTGGTAAAGATTCTTATTGAGTCAGCATGGTTGGTTCGCGGCCATAAAAGAGCATGACGCTGTGATGGGTGTTGGAACGTCTTCTCTTGGACTAAGAGGGACCGTTTCCTCCCCTCCTGAAAAAGCACCATGCTGCTTATGTGGATAGCCTTTCTGGCCGAGTCTAGATTTGCTCGTTAGCAAGTCTCCATGTGGAAACTCGCTTTGCAGCAGTTTGATAGCGGTGCACTTCTTGAGCCTTGGTCGCAGGGGTTTGAAACCACATCGGCAACTCTTGAGAGAGCCATGTCTATACAGCAGCGGATCTTGGCACGGCATGATCTGAGATTTGCTGGGTTTCCCAAGAGATCTGTGGGAAAAGGAACCTGACCTTAAGAAGGGCTAAGCATGCCAAGAACTCCAACTGAAATCAGATGTTTGCTACTTGATCTTCAGTGTCATTGGCCTGGGTCAAGCTGTTCTTCACTTGCTCTCTCCTCTTTCTTACAGTCTCCCTGCAAGGCATTAACACCAGGAAGGCCTTCAAAAGCTCCACTACTCAGGACCAGAAGCTCTTCGACAGAGATTCTCTCCCCGTGCCTGTCCTTGAAACCTATAGGACCTGCAATACTCCTCCACCCCTCAATATTCTCTCACCTTACAGGTATGGCTGCAACACCTTCTTGGCCCCTTGTTCCCTTGCAGAGGAGTACCTCTTCCTCCCAGCCTGCCAAGGAGGTATTTTCCCATCCCGTGCTGTACTGAAGTAGCAGTTTCCAATGGGAATTCGAGTTGCTAAGCTGAGATCCACCAGGAAATCTCCATCCTCTGGATTACGTGAAACTTTGCTTTTGGAGCTGTACAAATGAGCGTAGCTAGGAAGTCATATACTTGGTTACCTGCTGTCACTTTTGTGACTGCCTTGGGGCAAGGCTTGGCTGGCACTGCATAAACATGCTAGGTGTTGTGCAGATGATGCATTTTTCTTGTGCTTCTCTGTAGCCCTGTGGCTCCTTTCCAGAAAGACGCAGTGCAAACTGCAGAGCATACATCTGTAAATGGCTCTCACCCAGGTGGGTGCAGTAGACTCCTGTAGATCTGGAGATGCTTTCTGTGGCCTCTGTGCCTGGTCTGAGACGTCTGATGTGACCTACGCTGGCTGTGTAACCAGTTCTCCTGAGCAGTCCTGCTCTGATTTCATCTTGTAGGTAGTAGAAGTAAAGGGGGTCAGAATACAGAGACTTAGCCCACATCCATAAATATCTTTTGAACAGGTAAAAAGTAATTACAGATAGCTGGAGGCAGCTGTCTTCTGCCAGACGCGGCTGCACTGCAAAGTAGGAGGAGAGCGCGCGCGCGTGTGTGTGTGTGTGCTCGCTCATGAGTTTCAGGGATGCTGCTGGTCTGATTTAGGGTTCCTGGCCTGGAGAAGGTGGTGGTTTTGTTTGTTTGTTTTTTTCCACACCAAAACTACAATGCAAACGAGTGGGAGTTGAAGTGAGAGACCTGCTGCTCTCTTCGCGATTGTTCAGAGCAGTTGAGCTCTTCAGGTGCTGAGTAATGGAGAGTTTGTGTCGGGGCAAAAGCGATGGCAAGTGGGAGAGCCGGGGCAAGTGAGGCTGTGGGTCCGCTGCCTGTTCTGAAATGGAGGACAGAGGGGAGAGCAGCGTGTTTGACCTTCTCACTGCAGATTTTTAAACTGTCATCTGGGGTTGTGCCTCGTGTTTTCTTTGGGCTTCAAACAAATGCGTGACTTGGTCCTTGTTTGTGTGTTTTTTTTCCCCCCCTCCCTGTCCTAGGGATGATGGCAAAGAGGCGCTTAAATTCTACACAGATCCTTCATACTTCTTTGACCTTTGGAAAGAGAAAATGCTTCAGGACACCAAGGATATTATGAAAGAGAAGCGGAAACATAGGGTGAGGAAACAGGAGATCTCTGCCAACGGAGGCATGTCAGGGAAGAATAGGAGGTGGGAAGTGTTAATGAATCTTGGACTCCAAAGTTGCTATCCAAAATTCAGGTTTGCTCTCTTAAAGTCTCTAGGGATCAATTCAGTGAAGTTTTTATCTGGTTTACTCTCATCCTTGTTAATTAAAAAAAGAAAACAAAGGTACCCTTAATCTGTTTTTCCAAATGCCACCGTCTTTGTATGGTTATAATGGCTTAATTTGTAGTCCTCAAACATAGCGCTGGTGCAGTCAGCAGGGGAGAAAGTTGTGTTGGAGTCTTTTCTGCACTTCTGACGTTGCATAGAGGTCTGTTCAGCGTTGAAGCAGCGCAAATCCCACTGCCCCAGCACCACAGCGTGTTGAGTGGTGTAATAAATTCTGCTGTGGAAGAATAAAGGAAGGAGAAAATGTCCCTTCAGGGGTGTAAAACCAGGCCCTAATGTTAAATTAGGGGCAAGCGGGAGGCTTAACAAAACCATTTAAGCTGAAAATGCCAGGTAGAGTTCCTGGTTTGGCTGCCTGGGGGTTTGGACCCATGTTTACCAACACTGAAACTTACACCATAAAAGATTCAGTTTGAGCATACTTTATTTAGCTTTTGAGCAACTGGAGTATTAAATATCAAAACAAATCATGATTTTTCAATCAAAATAACAAAGGAGAGATTTAGGGCATGTTAGAATACAGGGAGGGAGGCTAGCCCAGTTCTTTGTGGGCGAGTGTCCATATTGCACCCCAAAGCCCTTAACACCAGCGAGGTGATGGTGAGATTTGGCAGTCTTGACACAGAGGCCAAAAACTGAATTGATGTGGGGAACTGAGCTTTCACTCTGCTCTCAAGGTGGTCATGCCAGTGAGTAACGATGGCATCATGTCTGGGCTGCACTGGGGAAATCTGATGCTGTTTTTCTTGGGTTTTTTATGCTACCTGTGCTCCAGCTTCTTTGTATGGGAGATCTTTGGAGCTTGCAGCAATCAGGAAAGTAAATTAAAAATCCTGGCCCTCTTTGAGACTGTATCTTCTTGAAACGGCTACAGGTCTATCCTATCCCTCCCTATTCCCAGTGAGTTTAAAGCAAAATAAGGCTTCTGTTTGATTCCTCCTCCCTTAGAAAGAGAAAAAGGAGAATCCGAACCGAGGAAACGTGAACCCGCGGAAAATTAAAACCCGGAAAGAAGAGTGGGAGAAGCTGAAAATGGGACAAGAATTTGTTGAGTCAAAGGACAAACACGGTCCTGCCGGGTAAGCAAGTCTGGGGCTCTCTGTTCAGCTCCCCAGCGAGGGGGAGCGGGCGGGCGTTGTTGATTGTAATGCAGTTCACCCTGCTCTGCAGCTTCTCCAGATCTGCTGCACAGTGTGGATCGATACTGCCACTAATCAGATTCTCCAAAGTAAATCCGTCTGCTGATTTTAAAATTTGCTAAATAAATCAGGGAGCTACATGGTTTGAACAAGGTGGCAGGAACAGCTTCTGTAGCAAGACTGCTCTCGGCTGCCTGTCTTGTGGGCACAGAAGTGTTGAGAGCTTTGGCTCCCTACCCCATCGCGATGCCCTTCCCATCGCACCTAGCCTCTGGGCCTTGCGCTGAGGAGCGGGGTGGCATCTCGGTGGTATTGTGTGATTGCTTTGTTACATTTCACAAACGGCTCTTCACACCCTAAAGTTGAAGCGGGGGCTGTCCCCATCCAAGTATTTCAAGCTACAGATCTCTCTTTAGCGCTTCTGGCTTGGGAATTCATTTAACTTTTGACACCAGCAAGGCTGGAAGCAGACCGAATTCCCCACAATGCACTTCGTGCTTGCTCGCTCCTTGCAGCTTCCTTTCATGTAAGAAAAAATCTCTCTTTAAATCACACTCTCCAGCTAAAAATAAAACTTCCTTTTAGTTTAATAGGAGAACAGGTTTGGTTTCTAGCAGAGGAATCGAGCAGCACAACAGCACCATTTTCTTGCTCCTCTCTCCTCTCGTGTAAGCATGTTCATGCATTTGAATTCACTTGAGGTCCAGACCCCCCAAGAATGGGGTGGTTCCACCACCCCACAGTGAAATGAGCTCATTGAAAGTTGGGTGCGAGAGTGGTCTCTTCCTTCAGTACTATTTCAGCTTTGGATGCTTGCTTTTAATGGCATCGCTGTTTCCTGGGTTCTCTTTGATACTCTGTTCTCAAGCTTATTTTTTGGCATCTTTGAGTACCTCTTCTTTCTTTGCCACTGATGATACCCAGTGTAACTGGGAGTCCTTCAAGTCCAAGTTGGTCAAAACACTCGTACAAGTGTATTTTCTGTTAACAAGTGTTTCTTAACATTAATCAAATGTTAAGAAAAATATTTTTATTTCGGTGTTTTCTTGTTCACTAAAATATATACTCGTGCTGTTCTGGTGTGTGGTAGCCATCAACAAACATGAAAGCATCTGGGCAAATTCTAGCCAAAGAATTATGCAGAGCAAACTAATACAGCTGTACGTGGTCCTTCATATAAGATGCTTTGAGAAATAGAGACTTTTTTTTTTTTTTATGTTGTTCTAAGGTTTTGTTTTGTGTGTCCTGCTGTGGTGGATGATAAGGTCCCACCTAAAGGCAGGTCCCACTGTGCTGGGAAAAGCCATTCCTA